CTGCCTTCTGCATGCCCCCACACTGGAGATAGAGCCACAGTCCAGGCATGTGCTCTGCACAGGAATCGAACCATGACCTCCTGGTTCATAGGTCAGTGCTCAACCCACTGAGCCACACCAGCTGGACTTAAAATAATTTTTAATTCGATTTTGTAGTTGCAAAGCCACTGTAATAGTTGACAAACTGTAATCCTGTATGGCTTACAGTCACACCTGCTGGGCTGGGACTCTGGTTAGTGAAGTCATAGTAACTACATATTTGAGATTCAAACAGTACTATTTTGCTGGTAATACTTTAACTTTTTTGACAGTTCTAGGTTGCTTATGTATTTTGGTAGGCAAGTAACTGTTTTTAGGTGTAGAATTGCATTTGCAACCATATTCTGCTAAAATGTGGACTTAAAAAATCAGTGTGCTCTTTTGTAGTTAATAGATTTCATCCAGAAATATCTTTAAATAGCTCAGGTTTAGGTCATTCTGAGTAAAATAATCTACTCCACGTATTAAACTTGTGTGAAGCAGGACTTGTCCTTTCATCATTATGGCCCTGAATGTTACAAGTTACATTATCCTTATAACTCGTAGGTAACTTTCCTTCTTACTTTTTTTCTAGCTAATATAATTGACAAATAACATTTTTAAAGTGTACAACGTGATGATTTGATATATATGTACATGGTAAAAGGGTTCCCACAATCAAGTTAATTACAGGTCCTGTTGTAATGTACCCCGAGAATCACAGAAGGACACCTCAAGAAGTCGAATTAAAGAGTCACATTTATTGCAATCCGGGACTATGAGGGGCCATTCCCCAAATCTCATAGTAACAAGATGGTCGCAGCTCCAAGGTTATATAGGCAAAAAATCACAAAGGTATTGATTACATCCCAGGGTTTGGAATGAGGAACCTGGCTCGCAAAAAGCAGTTTACAGAAGCAGAATTAAGCATGTTAATTATAGTTTTGGGTGTCGGGGTCACTGAATTGACAGAAATACATTATCTAAAGCCCTCGGGTCTGGAATGAGGAACCTAGTTTGCAAAAAGCAGTTTACAGAAGCAGAAACAGCATGTTATAAACACATTATCTAGAGCAGCCGTGGACAAACTACGGCCCGAGGGCCGGATCCGGCCTGTTTGAAATGAATAAAACTGAAAAAAAAAAAAGACCGTACCCTTTTATGTAATGATGTTTACTTTGAATTTATATTAGTTCACACAAACACTCCATCCATGCTTTTGTTCTGGCCCTCCGGTTCAGTTTAAGAACCCATTGTGGCCCTCGAGTCAAAAAGTTTGCCCACCCCTGATCTAGAGCCCTTGGGTAACCTCGGTTAAATTTAGGCATGTTATCTAAATTACTGTTTTGGGTCTAGAGCCCTTGGGTAACCTGGGTTAAACTTAGGCATGTTATCTAAATTACAGTTTTGGGTCTAGAGCCCTCTGACCTTGGGATAACTGTGCTGTCCTTCCCAGGTGAAGGAAAAATGTGCTTTCTAAGACCAGTATGACCACAACCCATGGGATATTCACATTACAATCAATAAGGCATTTAATCGAATGGGATGATTTATATAATTCAGAAAATCAAAGTAACCTGTCCATTGTTAAACAAAGCAAATAGGTACATAAGCCAAACAGGAGGGTTAAAGGTAAACTATAGCTTCTACCTGAGATGATTGCTACCATACTTCAGTCCATCACCTCACACATTTATCTTTTTGGGGGGTGAGAACATTAAGTTCTACTCTTTCAGAAAATTTTAATGCTACAGTATTGTTTTATCAACTATAGTCACCATATTCTACATTAGCTCCTTAGACACTATCTTATAACTGAAAGTTTTATCAACCTCTACACTCTCCCACACCCCATCCCCTTGCAACTACCATACTAAATTTGAATTTTAACTTTTTTTTTTAGATTCTACATACAAAGTGATACCATGCAGTATCTTATCTTTGTCTGGCTTATTTAATTTAGCATAATGCCACCAGTTCATTCTTATTAATGCAAATGGAAGGATTTCCCTTTTTTACCTTATTTTTTATAACCTGGGCTATTGTGCATAATAGTGAACATGGGAGTACAGGTATCTCTTTGAGATAATGATTTTATTTCCTCTGAATATATACCCAAAAGTGGGATTGCTGGGCCATAAGATACCTCTGTTTTTAATTTCTTGAGGAACCTCCATACTACTTTCCATAGCAGCTGAGCAAGATTCTTTCTAATAGAGATTTAAGGGCCTTCTGAAACCCACCCACCTTAGAATCCTATCTTATAAATGATATTTCTTCTTGTTATCAGATATTTTCAATATGACTATCATTTGTACTGCACTAATAAAATGTTAGATGTTTATTTTGTGTGTTTTTCTGATAAAATTTGTGTCGGGAGTCATTTAATCAGTATCTCTTATTTATAAAAATCAATTATTTTAAAACATTTACATTTTCTTAAAGAGAGCCCATGTGGATGTTTTGAAAAAAACAAGCAGTGCCATTAATGTAAAATATAATAATTACAAAAACCAACCCCACCCCATACAACATGCTGTCATCCACACCTGTTACATACCAAAGATAATACCATCATTTATAGAGTTGCTCTTTGTGTGTTTTCCCAGTGATGGCAAAGGTTTTCTACTTGCAAGATAATCCTTTCAGTATGCATTTTTGAGATGACTGGCTGGAGTTAGCAAAAGTTATGACTGTGTGATAAAACAAAGTAAGTGGTCCATGACAGTGTCACCGTGACCACACCTTCTCAGCCTGGCTCCGAATATACTAACCAAAGATAAAGGAGTCAGATGTATATAATCTAACCAAGTACTTTTATAAACTGGTGATGGTTTTATAAGTTTACCAACTGTACCAAAAAGAATTGAAACTAAAAATTTAGTTTTACATAACCTTTCCAGAGAATGACCAGAATTTAAGTATTATAATGCAGACATTTTAACTTATTCTTGGTATTTAAAGTATGGTAGAAATTTAAATTTTATATTTTGCTTAATTTTAATAGTCTTTCATATTTCTAACATTAATGTTACTTCTTACATTACAAATAACTAAATTTAAAAATTTTTAACCTGATGTCAAAAGTGAATTTTGATAGCAAAATATTTCTTTTCTCCTTTTATTCACTGTTCTCCTTAAGAGTAGAAACTAGTTTCTTTCTAAATACTTTGTTAAAGTGCTCGGTAATATGTTTTCTGTAGAAGGTAAGGAATTAATGTTTGCTGCATTGGAGTGTATTAAAAAAAGTTCAAATAAAATGACTTTCTAAACATGATTTTGTACTCTAAAAACTCTCAGGCACAAATTTTTAGATTTGGAAATCTAGGAGTGACACTTGTTCCATGTTCCCCGGATGCTTTGGGAACTCTGAACAAGAGGTTTTGGATTCTTGGGGTTCTGTGTATTCCACTGGGAACTCTATAAAGAAGTAGAAGCCCTAGCTTGAGAGCAATAAAGACTTAAATAACTTTGTTCCCCTTTTGTCAAAATGCATGTCTTGTCTGAAATGCAAAAGGAATGTCATTCTTCTCTTTCATTTATTTAGCATGTGCAGTAAAGCACATATTATTCTGAGGCACAAGTAGAACAGTGAACAAGGAAACCTCAGGTACAGATAGTGCATATCTATAATAATAAAAGTGTAATATGCTAATGAGACTGGACGTCCTTCCAGACAACCTTCCGGACAAAGCCTCGGTGGCCGGGGCCAAGGCAGAAGTGGCTGCAGCGGCGGCAAGGGCCAAGCCCCTTGCATGAATTTTGTGCATTGAGCCTCTAGTAGTGTTATAAAGGGATACATCTACATGTTGTGCAACTAATCTGGTCTCTGGAGAGGCAGAAAATTTGGGAGTGAGGCCTAAAGGATAAGTAGGGTCAGCCAGGTCCCCTAAAGGTATTCTAGGCACAAGGAACAGTCAACAAGAATAGTGAACACAAAAGATAGGAAACAAGAGTTTAGAGTACTTTAGGGTAAATAAAAGTGGTTCAAATCATGATTCCTCAGTTAGGAGGGATGAGGCTAGAAAGATCACCAGAGTTCTGATCACTTTGAGACTAAGCTAGGCTACGGAAGCTTCAGAGCCAATGCCAAGGTGATGGCACAGCATCTCTGGTCCCTGGCCCTCCTCCTGGGCTTAGTGAGGACAAGTGCAGGTTTCTTGTACCAGAGTCTGGACTTCTTCCTCAGCGAGAGGGAGCTGAACCACCTGGTTGTGGATGAAGCAATGTGGCAGCCTCTTCAGGGGCATCTGTGCCCTTCCATTAAATCTGCCACTGTACCTTATATCTTCCTATGCGTGAGTCTCTAAAGGGCTTTTCTTGTGACTTTGCAAGAACCCATTTCCCGACCGGTCCGGCAGATCTGCCTTGATCCTGGTTCACGTTCACGTTCAACAACAATATGGCACCCAATGAGGGGGGGGGCGGGGGTAGAGGGAGTGCTTCCATGGCACTTTGTTGCAGAGTTCAGCTGACCTGATTATAAATAAACTAGAGGCCCAGTGCATGAAATTTGTGCACTCGGGGCGGGGGGTCCCCTGCGCCCTCTCGCAGTCTGGGAGCCCCATGGAGCAGGCCTAAGCCATCAGTTGGACATCATTAGCACTGCCACGGAGGTGGGAGAGGCTCCCGCCACTGCCGCTGCACTCGCCAGCCATGAGCCCAGCTTCTGGCTGAGCGATGCTCCCTCTGTGGGAGTGCACTGACCACCAGGGGCAGCTCCTGCGTTGAGCATCTGCTGTCTGGTGGTCAGTGCACGTCATAGCCACCAGTCGTTCGCTGTTCAGTTGATTTGCATATTAGCCTTGTATTATATAGGATCTCTATAGGACTTGTCCTGTAGCATCATTCATTACATGCACTTGATTATGCATATGCATTATAGTTTTTGAGGCTATTACAAGAGTCAAATTTCAAATACCTTCATGAGAAAAGCCTTCTCACATTTCCAAAGCATCCATATAATGGCACCTCCCAAAATATCTAGACATTTTGAGTACTTATTGGCTAATGCAGAAACCTCCTAGATTACCCTGCTATGGCCATTTCATTTCTTTTCATTTGTTCTTTTATTATTACACTAGAGGCCCGGTGCACAAAAATTTGTGCACTCGGGGGGGAAGGGGGTCCCTCAGCCCAGCCTGTGCCCTCGCAGTCTGGGACCCCTCGGGAGATAACGACCTGCTGGCTTAGGCCTGCTCCTGGGTGGCAGAGGGCAGGCCCAATCCCTAGGTGCAGCCCCTGGTCGGGCTCAGAGCAGGGCCGATTGGGGAGTTGGGGCGCCGCCCCCTGTCATGCACAGAGCAGGGCGGATTGGGAGGTTGCGATGCCACCCTCAGTCACACTCAGGGTAGGGCCAATTGGGGGGTTGGGGCACCGCCCCCTGTCACACTCAAGGCGGGGTCGATGGGGAGGTTGCGGCGCCACCCACTTTCACGCACAGAGCAGGGCCAATCAGGGGGGTTGGGGCTCCGTACCCTGTCACGCACAGAGCAGGGTCCATCAGGGGGTTGGGGAGCTCCCCCCTGTCACGCACAGAGCAGGGCGAATCAGGGGCTTGGGGCACCTCCCTCTATCACCCACAGAGCAGGGCCGATCAGGGGGTTGGGGCGCCGCCACTCTCACACTCAGGGCAGGGCCGATGGAGAGGTTATGGCTCTACCCTGTCACACACAGAGCAGGGCCCGTGGGGGGGCGGGGGGGCACCGCACCCTGTCACACACAGAGCCGCAGGGCAATCAGGGGGTTGGGGAGCTCCCCCCTATCAGGCACAGAGCAGGGCTGATCAGGGGGTTGGGGCGCCTTCCCCTGTCACGAACAGAGCAGGGCGGATAGGGAGGTTGTGGACCCGCCCCCTGTCACACACAGAGCCACAGGACGATCAGGGGGTTTGGGCGCTGCCCCCTGTCGCGCTGATCCCGGTGCCGGGAGGCATATTACCTTTTACTATATAGGATAGAGGCCTGGTGCATGGGTAGGGGCTGGCTGGTTTGCCCTGAAGGGTGTCCTGGATCAGGGTGGGGGTCCCCACTGGGGTGCCTGGCCAGCCTAGATGAGGGGATGATGGCTGTTTGCAGCTGGTCACACACCCTTCAGGGTGGGGGTCCCCACTGGGGTGCCTGGCCAGTCTGGGTGAGGGGCTGAGGGCTGTTTTCAGGCTGGTGGGTGACTGAAGCTCCCAACCACTCCTTTTTTTTCTTTTTTTTTTTTATTCTGGGCCAAGGCCTCTGCTGCTGAAAGCAGGTATCTGGTTTGTTTCCGTTCTATAATCAAAACACTGTATCATCTCCAGCTCTGAGATCCCGGCCGGCTGAAAGCTGGTTTCTGGGGTTTTGTTTAGCTTCTATATTTGTTACAATGTTTCAAACTGCCAGCTCAGAGGCCGGCAAGGCAGGCGGGGAACATTGGAGTCCTCCTTCACTGAAGCAAGCAAGCCTCGTGTTCGCTTCCAGCTGCCTGGCTGCCGGCTGCCATCTTGGCTGGCAGTTAATTTGCATATCGCCCTGATTAGCCAATGGGAAGGGTAGCGGTTGTACGCTAATTACCATGTTTCTCTTTTATTAGATAGGATAATGTTTTTTAAAAAATTTTGATACGTTACTTTAAATTCTAGATCTAGCAAAGTCTTCTCTATTATAATTATTATATAAAAACCTTTTGGGTGTCTCATTGTACTGTGGTACTTTTTTAAGCTGCATGGTATTTATTGTGGTACAGTGTCACATATTTTATAAGACCTTCAATTCAGATCCCTTCTTTATATAAAATGTAGCATAAAAGATAAAAATCACATTTTGGTTTCTGCATGTTATGTACCAAGGCAGTGTTTTCATTTTGGACAATTGAATTTTTCCTGCAGGAAGCAAGAAGTGACAAGAGTCTGGATTTGTCACCTACACCTACATCACAGAGCTCAGCTCAAAATACGGTCTCTCAGCCAATTTCTGGAGACCCTGACATAGACAAAAAAATCAAGAACCTAAAGAAGGTGAGAATTCAGTGCAAGTCAGATGTGTTTATTGAAAGAAATGTGTGAGGATTCTATAAAGAAAATAATATTTAGACACGTAAAGAGGCATCTAAGAAGTTTATAGCAGTTCTCGTTGCTTTCTCACTATGAAATGCTGTCATAGGAATGGCGCTGATTTAAATTCTATTCACAGTCATCTAATGCCTATTAGTCTTCTCATTATTGGTTTTGGAGTAATAAATAATGTACATTTGTACAGAAATATGCTGAATACTTTTATACTTAGTATTTTATTAGACACATACAAGACAGGTGGGAACAGACATTTGTCCCAGTTTTAAAGATGAGCAAACAGAGACAGAAATAAGTTGATTAGCTTATCAAATTGCAACCAGGTAAAATCAGGTCTCTAGCCCTGACCGGTTTGGCTCAATGGCTAGAGCGTCGGCCTGCGGACTGAAGGGTCCCGGGTTCGATTCCGGTCAAGGGCATGTACCTGGGTTGCAGGCACATCCCTAGTGGGGGGTGTGCGGGAGGCAGCTGATCGATATTTCTAACTCTTTATCCCTCTCCCTTCCTCTCTGTAAAAAATCAATAAAATATATTTTTTAAAAAAAATCAGGTCTCTAGAGCCCTTCCCAGGTTGCACTATTAAGTTTCTCTTAAAGCCAAAGATGTCATCCGGGTACAATGAGGTGCTAAAATAAATAATGAAGTTGGTGATATATTTACATACATATATGTACATATATACACACGCACACACACACATACATATATAACATTAATTAAAAGCTTAGAAAATATTTCACCAAATCTATATTCTTTTTTCCCAGAGTTGGAGCACATTTTATTTATTTATTTATTTATTCATTTATTTCGTTTTTCAATTAAAGTTGACAGTCAATATTATATTAGTTTCCGGTGTACAGCATAGTGGTCAGACATTTATACAACTTATGAAGTGATTCCCCATGTCCCCAATAAGGCTAGTACCCACCTGCCACCATGCATACTTATTACAATATTATTGACTATATTCCCTATGCTGTACTTTACATTCCCCCACTATCCCCCCATATTGTTAATATATCTAATTTGCATTTAATTTAAAAAAATAGTTTACCTTAGCATTTTAACAGACTATTCTTAATACAAATGTAAGATAATTGATTCTCCTTATTCAGGGTTCACATTCATATAATTGAGTTGTTAATAAGGACATTTGCATTCTAAAATGACTTACTCTTCCTTCCTCTTGATATTTGTAGAAACTGAAAGCAATCGAACAACTGAAAGAACAAGCAGCAACTGGAAAACAGCTAGAAAAAAATCAGGTATTTTCTGCATTTTTAACTTGAGCTCATAGTCATGACTACTCTTCCCCTTTTTATTATAAGCAATTGTTTCATTGGGTAAAAGAACACATAGGTTTTAAAAACGTCTCTTGGAAAATATATGCCATATATTTTTTAATGTTTTTACTCTTAAACAGGGATAGAGGGAGACATGATGTAGATAAGTGACTGAGAACGTCACTGTTTCTAAGAGGTGTATTAATGCTATTGCTGCTGAAAATAAGAGCATTTATTATGTTAGACAAATAGAAAATTCTCTTCTTTACTGTCTCAGGTTGCACTGCTCTTTTTTTTTTTTTTTTTTTTTCCCTTCCCTCTTCCTTTCCTCAGCTCTTTTAAACCCCAGGTGTAGACTGGAAAGTTTACTGGACCTGAAGGAATGCAGTAAGACAGCTTCTGGCTCAGTGGTTGAGCATGGATCTGTAAACCAGGAGGTCATGGTTCAATTCCTGGTCAGGGCACATGCCAGGATTGCGGGTTCAATCCCCAGTGGGGGGGCATGCAGGAGGCAGCTAATCAATAATTCTTTCTTATCATTAATGTTTCTCTCTCTTTCTCTCTCTCTCTCTCTCTCCCTCTCCCTTCCTCTCTGAAATAAATAAAAATACACTGAAAAAAAAAAAAGACTTAAAGACAGCTTCTTTCCTTTGCCCCCTTGATTCATGCCAGATAACAAATTAGAACATGTTTCTAATCTGCACTTTTATTTTTGTTTTTTTAATTGATTTTCAGAGAGGAAGTAAGAGGGAGATAGAAACATCAATGATGAGAGAGAATCATTGATTGGCCGCCTCCTACATGTCCTCTACTGTCATGTGCCCTGACTGGAATCAAACTGTGACCTCCTGGTTCATAGGTCAACACTTCACCACTGAACCACACCGGCTGGGCATCCAATCTGTACTTTTAAATCTATTTACCAGTGGATCTGATAAACTGTCAGCTATATTCTCTGTAAATATTTTCTTCTTTGCTATTTGGCTATAGAGCCAGTAATTATTTTATTTCCTTTTTAATAACTTTATTGTTTTAAACTTTTCTAGTTGGAGAAAATTCAAAAAGAGAAAGCCCTTCTCCAGGAGCTGGAAGATTTGGAATTGGGTATTTAAAGAGTCACAGAAAGCAAGTTGGTTACCAGAAATCAGTGGGAACTCATCTTCTGTTAAGTTCATTGGTGTATACAGAACGTTCATGTGCCCACATTTAACATTCATCTCTAATTTTAACCATTTTCCAAAGTTCTGCGTATGTGGGAAATTATTTAATAATGCCTATTAAAATTGATTTTTGTGTCCTGCATCTTAGATCATGTTAACATATGAAATAAAAAGACACATGACATATTGAAGTTTGACATATTGAAAGACAAATGTCATTGTTTTTTAGGAGGAGACAGTATTTACCATATAAATGAATAAAGACATTTTAAATTTAATCAATTTTGGCTTTGTTATAAGTTTTTCACTCAAGAAATCCTTTATTAATTTAGAAGGCAAGTTTAGGAAAATTGCCTTTGAATATATAATATGGCTTTTTTGATCCTAAAATATTACTGTATTAAAACTTTAAATAAATCCTTAAAAACCAGGTTGTAGTAAATGAGTTAAAGTATTAATATTATTTGTATTATCTGAAGTAAAGTTTTTCTTAGTTCTAAAGTAAATATAGACTTTAAAAATAGAGTAAAATATTTTATTCTGGTATTTCAAATAATAAACCTAGAGATGTGAGGATGAGGTAAATGTGTTCCAAACATGGACTATGATTGTTTTGGTTATATTTTCATATGATGACAAAATGATATAATGATAATGCCAGACATTTGATTATCAAAACCAATTCATATTACAATTAATTATTTTCATCAGGTTTACATTTGAAATTATTTTTATTTCATTTGCATTGATAAAGGTTTTCATTTTCCAGGGCTAATATTTAATCTGGTATGTAAAGGAAAAGCAAAACAGATGACTGAGTTTGCTGATGCCCCAAAGTTTCTATCAAGCTTTGGTCAAGATCTAATGCATTAAATTTGAGTGGCATTTTAATTTTTTTCTTTGTGGAGTGTATGTGTGCATATATGTACATATAATTGCTTTCAACATTTATTTCTGATATTAGAAATTGACACATTACTTTTATAATATATTACTTTAAAATATTTTTCTAATAAAATGTTAAATAATGCATTCTGAAACAGTGTAATGTTTTTTTGGCTTAGAAGCCTAACAGTTGTTTTGGTTAATTCCCATTTATAGCACAGTTTATAATAAACTTATTAATCATTTATAAAATGTTTATCTCAGAGGTAATATCATAGAAACTTTGTTATTTTCACCAGAGTTACTGTTCCCACCAAAATTCTTAGACTCATTTTTTAAAAGAATTTTCTTTATTTCTGTAATGATTTAATCCATTTAATTGGTAAAAAATTACTGAGCACACATCAATATAAAAATCACTGAGGTGTTCTTTGACTACCCATTTTGTTTGGTTTTTCTTTTAAATACATGATCCTCAGGGAGTAAGTGTTAGGTGGTAGAAATAAAAAAGAGTGTTTGGCGATGAAAGTCTGCTTGAAATGAGATTTAAAATACAGTAGTCCCCTTTTATCCAAGTGGGATACATGCCTAGACCCCCAGTAGATGCCTGAAACTGCAGATAGTACTGAACCCTGCATATACATTTTTTCCTACACATACATACATGTGATAAAATTTAATTTATAAACTATGCACAGTAAGATTAACAATAATAATAAAATAGAACAACTATAACAATATACTATAATAAAAGTTACATGAATGTGGTCTCTTTCCCTATGACAACTAAGACAGCCATTAAGTGGCTAACGGTTGGGTGGGTTATAGCATATACAGCGTGGATATGCTGGACATAGAGATGATTCACAACCCAGGCAGAGTAGTGAGATTTCATCACCCTACTCAGAGTGGTGTGCAGTTTAAAACTTGTGAATGGTTTGTTTTTGGAATTTTCCATTTAATATTTTCAGAACACAATTGACCACAGTAACTGAAACCACAGAAAGAAAAACTGAATAAGGGGGGCCTGGCAGTGTGGCTCAGTGGTTGAGTGTTGACCTATGAACCAAGAGGTCACTGGGTCGATCCCCAGTCAGGGCACATGCCTGGATTGCAAGCTCAATAGGTAGGAGGCAGCATATAGATGACGTTTTTCTTTCATCAATGTGTCTATGTCCCTCTCTCTCTAAAATCAATAAAAACATTTTTTTAAAAACTGAGTAAGAGCAGACTCCTGTATTTCTTTGACTTTTATTGATTTTTTACAGAGAGGAAGGGAGAGAGATAGAGAGTTAGAAACATCGATGAGAGAGAAACATCCATCAGCTGCCTCCTGCACATCTCCCACTGGGGATGTGCCCGCAACCCAGGTACATGCCCTTGACCGGAATCGAACCTGAGACCTTTCGGTCCGCAGGCCGACGCTCTATCCACTGAGCCAAACCGGTTTCGGCTAAAAACATTTTTTTAAAAACTGAGTAAGAGCAGACTCCTGTATTTCTTTGACTTAGTAAAATACTAGAAAGACAGGTAGAAATATTAAGAACATTTTTAATATATATATTTTTTTTATTTCAGAGAGGAAGGGAGAGGAAGAGATAGATAGAAACATCTATGATGAGAGAATCATTGGTCTGCTGCCTCCTGCATGCCCCTCCCCCCCCTGGCCACTGGGGATCAAGCCCCCAACCTGGGCATGTGCCATGACCAGAAAACAAACCGTGACCTGATAAAAGAGATTAATAGATAGACGCTCAACCTCTGAGCCACACCAGCTGAGCAAGAATTCTTATTCAAGGGAGAATTCAGAGCAGAGCAAACTGGCAAGAATTGAGTGTTTTGTTCTGGAAGGAAGGAGGAATAGTGGAATAAGTTGACAGCAGGTGCCTATTTCTTGGGGTCATCCGCAGCTACCAATACAAAGTCAAACCAGATTTATTTTTTATTTTGTTAATCGTCACCCAAGGATATTTTTCCATTGATTTTTAGAGAGAGAGGGAGAGATAGCGAGAGAGAAACATCAATTGGTTGCCTCCCGCATGAGCCCACATGACCTTGACTAGAATCAAACCCGGACCCTTCAGTACATGGGCCGACACTCTATCCACTGAGCCAAACCGGTGAGGGCAGTCAAACCAGATTTAGAAGTAAAGACCATCACACTGTTTTTAAAGCTACTTGATTAACTTAAGTACAGTGCAGGCTATAAAGGAAATATAATGTACCATTCAGTAATGTCAAGTTATTTGTAGATGTAAGATTGGTTCATGAAAAAGAAGAAAATTGAAGAATTGAGGCCTAGTACCAAAAGATGTGGCAAGGTGTCTTAGTTCATCCAGGCTCCCGTAACAAAATACCATAGACTGGGTGGCTTATAAACAGCAGAAACATTTCTCATAGTTCTGAAGGCTGTGAAGTTTAAGATCAAAACACCTGCAGATTTGATGTCTGGTGAGGTGGTTCATAGCCATCTTGCTGTGTGGGCATGAGGAGGGAGCTCTCTGGGTTCTCTCTTGTAAAGGCACAGGTCCCATTCATTAGGGCTCTGCCCTCATGACCTAATCACCTCCAGCTGCCCCACCTCCAAATACCATCACCCTGGGAATTAAGTTTCAATATAAATTTTGGGGAAACAAAAACATTCCCGTCTTTAGCACCAGGGGAAATCATTATAGCAAGCATATACTAACTTTAAAAAGATGGGAGAGCCCTGGCCTGGTTGGTTGGAACATCCTCCCATACACCAAAAGTTATGGATTCGATTCCCAGTCAGGGCAACATACCTGGGTTGTGGGTTCAGTCCCAGGTTGGGATGCATGCGGGAGGCAGCTGATCAGTGTTTCTCGTGTCACTATATCTCTCCCTCTCTCTAAAATTGATAAAAAACATTTCCTTGGGTGAGGATAAATAAAAATTAAGGGATGAGAGATATTATTCTGATATTTCTTGTTCCCATCTGGGCATGTGGAGAATTATACTTCCACATCCTCTTGAAGTACTTCATGGGTAAGTGGCTTGCTTCAGCCACTGAAATGTTAGGGAGAATTGAAATGAGTCATTTAAGAGCCAATATATGGGTTTCATGCCTCCCTGTTGTGGTGGACCCTGAGGCCTGGGGTTGAGATATCACTATTGGAGATGGTGGATCTCTTCACGTTGGACTTGCAGCATGAATGAGAAATAAACTTTTATTTTTAAGTCATTGAAAGTTTGGAGATTTTTTTAAAATCTTAGTTTAAAGATTTAAATCACAACTTAGTTTAATGATTTCCAAGTTTTGTTGCACATTAGAGTCATCTGGGACACTTTTACAACATCCAATGCCCAAGTCCTTCTTTATGCCAATTAAATAACAATGACTGATCATAGATACCCAGAAGACCAGTTGCTGGGTCATATGGCAGCTCCATTCTTAATTTTTTTAGGAACCTCCATACATACTGTTTTCAATTGTATTCTTTAAAGATTCCCCAGGTGATTCCAGTATGTTAGCAAAGTTTGGGAACCACATACCTAGCCTATGCTATTCAATCTCCTACAGTGTTAATACATTCATGAAAATATATGTGGAAGTCAAGTGATTTTTTTTTCTGTTGTAGGGTGTGTTCATCCTTATAGAGCTTAAAATATTAATGTTTTGCATCTTACCCTGTGGACTAGTTACTAAATAATGTTTTATATGATTTTAATATATGTTTTTGCTTACATTTGAACACAACAAACCTGTGAGCATAGATTTGCTAAATATTTTTCATTTTTGGCACACCTAGTAAATTCATTCTTTTATCAGTGTTAAGTTGAATTTTAAAATGTATTGGGATAGTATCTACACTAATAAAAGAAACATGCAAATTCGTGTCACTCTGCTACACCCACCAGCCAATCAGAGTGACTATGCAAATTAACCCAACAAAAGATGGTGGTTAATTTGCATACACAGGCGCGGAGTGAAGACTGAAGAGGCTTGGCTTCACCACTGTGGCCGGACCAAAGGCCTGGGTCCTGTGTGCCAGAGGAAAACCGGTGCCGGCAGCCAGGGGAAGGAAGGCCTATTGCATGAATCTTAATGCAATGGGCTTCTAGTTGGTTAATAATTTCAGATGTACAGCTATACTATGACATTTATATACTCTATTTTGTGCTCACCCACCTGAGGTCTAGTATCCTTCTGTCACCATATATTTGATATGCTTTACCCTCTTCATCCTCCCCCCGAATTCCCTTTCCCTCTAACCATCATTCTGTTTGTATCTGTAGGTTTGTGGTTTGTTTTGTTTGTTTTTGTTAATTTGTTGCTTTGTTTTATATTCCACATATGAGTGAAATAATATATATGGTTCTTGTCCTTTTCCATCTGACTTATTTCACTTAGTATAATACTCCCATGATCTACACATGTCATAAATGGTAATATTTTATCTTTTATGGCTGATTGATATTTCATTATATATATGCATCACATCTTTATCCAATCAAGCATCAAAGGACACTTAGGTTGTGTCCATGTCTTGGCTATCCTCCTTATATAGTAAAAGCCTAATATGTAAATTGTCCCCTTGGGCCATCATTCTACCAGGAGACCGGGAGTTCCACTGCTCGCTATGACGTGCGCTGACCACCAGGGGCAGTGCAGAACATGGCGGGCGTCAGCGATGCTCTGCAACCTCTCACCAGCTACCTGGGGGCGGGGGTGATGGGGACAGAGGTGCAGTGAGAATGCGGAGTGTCCACTGAGCTTGCTTTCACTCCCCCTGCTACCCTCCCCCGGGACGCCAGGGCTCGTGCACCGGGGAAGCCCTCCTGCTCAGGTGCCAGGCACCTGCGAGGAGCCCACCCCGCACCTGCGCAGCCTCTTCTGGGTAAGCTGGGCCACAGCCGCCAGGGGACTGTAGGGGCCAGTCGGGCTCCCCATGGGTTCACATAGGAGCTGGTCTGCGAAGCCAGCTGGGAGAGAGCATGATGCCCACCCGGCTTCCGTGTGGCACTGCTGGGCAGTCCAGAGGCCC